AAATGCTTGCTACTTCTCAGTTCAAAATATTTTGTCTTCCCGTCTGATTTCTAAGAACCTGAAAATTAAAGTATACAAAACAATAATCTTGCCTGTTGTTTTGTATGGGTGCGAAACATGGTCTCTCACTCAGAGGGAGGAACACAGATTGCGGGTGTTTGAGAATCGGGTGTTGAGGAGGATATTTGGGCCTAAGAGGGAAGACGATGGGGCGTGGAGAAAACTGTACAATGACGAGCTTAAAAATCTGTACTGCTCCCCCAGTCTTGTGAGGGTGATTAAGTCGAGAAGAGTGAGATGGGCGGGACATGTAGCGCGCATGGATGGGACAAGAGGTGTGCACTGGGTACTGGTTGGGAAACCTGAAGGGAAGAGACCGCTGGTGAGACCTAGACGTAGATGGGAGGATAATCTCAGGCGGGATCTATGGGAGATAGGAGTTGAAGGAAACTGGATTTTGTTGGCCCAGGACAGGGTCCGGTGGAGGGCTTTGGTTAATTCGGTGATGAACCTTCGGGTTCGGCAAGCCATCTAGTTAGTTAGTTAGTTTAGTCTTATATCTTCTAATTAGCCTCTTCCCCCTCAGGTTTTCTGACCAAAACCATCCTGGAAATAAAGTAATGTACAAACACTAGTACTTTGGTTAAAAAAATTGTAATTAAGTATTAGAATTTATTTATAGGGAATGTATAACAAATAATGAACGTATGGTATACCACAGGTATTATAGGTGATCATTGATACAGGTACGAAGAAGTGGAACTGACAATTTGGCAGTTGGTTCCCGGCGCCGCATTGCATTCATGGATGATAATTTGTACAAATACCAGCAAACACTGAAGAAAGCAGATGAGCAAATGGCTGATGCAATTAAAAACATGCATGTTGGAGTGTATGAGTAAGTAATAACCAAAGCATAACCTACTGTACTTATTTGTTTATAGGGACAAAATTTGCTGTATGTAATCATTACTTTTTAAATAACAGTTAATTTTGGTGTTAGATTAAAGTCAGGTAAAATGTAAAATTTATATATGAAGCTATAATTAATAGTTTTTAAATGGTTATGGTTTGTAAAAAACTGGTGACAATATATTTATTTATAATTATTTTACCTTTAATTCAGTATCTTTACTTTTATTGGCTGTATGTCACTGCTTACACAAGTTTGTCACAGTAGCATATGTTAAAATTGTTTACCCTGAGGTTAAAGTCTGGCCAGCAACTCTATACCACAGAGGTTTAAATATCCTATTCCCATGTTATATAAGATTAAAAACATTATTTTATTACTTTTGTCCTGTCTTATCATCCTCACTCTTTCTCTCTCTACCCCTTCCACTTCCTTCCTCCCTCTCAGAACAACTTAGGTCTAATAAATTATGGAAGTTTTTGAATAACAGTCATAGCTAGGTGTTATACTACCATTACATAGAAAAATGGGGCAACTGTAAATAGTTCAAGCAGGTGGGATTTGTTTACCACATGTATTACATAGTCAAGACACCAAGCTGTATAATTCGTGTATAAGATTTCTACTCAATCTTTGGTATTTATTTTATCTTGTATTTCAATTGCTCTCTGTGTGTTGCAGTCGATGGCTTTTGAGAGAGAATATTAATCCATTTTGCCTTACATTTGAGAATATGCAGTGGGAGTTGCCATTTCTCAAACAACCAGATCCTCTCTTCAAATTCTATGTTGGATGTGCTCTTTTTGTTCTTCTTGGGATGCTGACTATTCAGTGTCTAGGTCTTCCAAGGTACGATTTGCAAAACTTAATAATTTTTGTTGTTACATTAGGTATATAAAAGACATAACAAAGTTAATAGGTATATTTTTGGAACTTTTAGTTGCAAATGTGTCTATAAAATGCATACCTTCAGTCTGGATGCTGTGTGATTAATATGTAATAATGATATTAAATTTAGTAGCTCACATGTATAAGAATTTTTCTGTTATAAATAAGTGGGTCAGTAGCTTATGTATTTCATTTATATTTGCAGTTCACACTGGATGCCTTGGGTTGGTTATGGTGTGTCTCTGGGAGTAATTTTTATGTTGCTACCTCTCACATGGACTCACTACATGTGGACCAAGTTGAAAGACCCCCATGAGGAGCAAGACTACATTCCTGAGCCAAGAAACAAATTTTTGAACCTCCTGTATCAAGCATCTCTCAAGGTGGTGTGGAGCGCTGGCACACGTACAGCTATCTATCTGGTAGTATGTATCAGTCTGACCATCTGCACCATGCTAGAGCTGGTGAGTCTCTTACTTTGAATAATTTGTAACTTTTAAACACAGTAGCAGCTTGTACCTTATTTTTCTCGTGGGGCATGTGTCCAGAATGTAATCCTAAAATAAAATATTGGAATTTTATTTCAGTTTAACTTTGTCAAATGCCAGTTTCAGGGGTTAAAAATAAAACTGACATTACTGCTAGGAATTTTTGAACTCATCTTAATGACCTGTAAATACAAATATATATTTCTTGCAAAATGTTCATCTCCAACACATCTTAACAAAAGATGAAAAGGAAATGAAAATATCTAATAAATGTTCCATATTTATTAACCTGAATTTTTGAGAGTTATTTTCCTTTTGTTGCCTTGACACCTTCTTAAGTGTGGGAGATGCTTAGTTAAAGTGTTCTGTCTCACAAGCTTTGTATCCAGACCTTTATCCTTGCCTCATCACTACCCATTCCTGCAAACATCTGTGTCAACTGGGCACTATTTTATTTACTGGGTAACATGATGACAAGGCTGCATCATCACCTTGGTGATGGAGGCAGCAAAAGTATCCCTGAAACACTGATAAATTCCTACACAGTACAAAATTCCATATCACAGTTATCTTTATTCTTGCCACCATGAGAATCTGAACTCTCAATCATTGTTATTCTTATTTACAGCTAGAATGTGATATGAAGGGTGACCATGATGACAGAAATGTGAGCAACATCATGGCAGCTGACATGGATGAACTTGTGACAGATTGCCTTGCACCATGGGTAATTTGAAGCAAGTGTACAGTTGCATCTCTGTGTTGTAAAATATAAAAGAAAGTATGCTACCAAGAAAAATTAAACTGAGTGGAAGGAAATTATGTCCAAGCCAATGCAATGAAAGTGTGTCATTAATATAATGATGGCTTTGTCTGAAGTTATATTATGAAACAAAACAAAAAAATCTTTGAAATCTGCATATTTATCAGGAACCAAGCATTTCAGATTTAGTGTATAGTAGAAATGGGAAGTTGTTTACGACATAAATAGAAACACCTATTGATTCTTTACTAAGAATTTAATTTTTCCTTGTAATTGGGAGTCAAGTTCTTTATCAGAAAGACAGGATAAAAGATAATATGGCCCACTCTGTTTTAAATATAATGGTACTCTGCACTGAATATATTTATACATATACCTATATCAGGATTTTGTCTTATTACGTAACATTACTTTGTGTGTGTTGCAGCACATAACACAGATTTGCTCCTTAACGCTCATCATGAGCTTCCTCTTTTTAAGGATACATTTCCAGCTCAAATTCATCCTGGGCATTCTTATTATAGTGACTTATTCATGTGGAGTCTGGATTTTGTCTCCAAAAATTTTTCAGGTAAGATTCATTCATTCTTTCAAAATATCAGAGAACTTGAAATGTGGTTTACTTCATGAACTATTAGAATGATCAGTAGGGTTTAGTGCTCAATTCATCAAGAAGCTGGGGCCACCTGTGCTTACTTAGCCTATAGCTCCAGAACCTCCAAAACTCAATAGATGAGAGTATATATATATAATCTTCTTCTATGGCTCTCCGGTCCATATTCAGTCCATGGCCTCCTCAATTCTCCTCTTCCATTCAGTCCTGTATATATATATATATTTATTGTGGTATTATGTCAGCTTCCAGTAAATTGAACCCTTTGAAGACAAAGCTTGCATAGATACTACTTAAAATGCAATTATTTCTGTAAATAAAATGCAAAATGTCTTTATTATAAAGCTCTGTTGAACAACGCCAGTTAAGCAAATAATAGCCGTCTGCTTTGAGAATTGTATGAAATGTAAATGCACTATGTTGGCAAAATGCCAAGCAAGTGGTACATATTGTTATCATTGGTCTTTAAAGTAGTAGTAGTAGTAGTAGTAGTAGTAATAAGGCTTATTACTAATTTGTACTTTCCAGTGCAAAGAATATATTGTAACTGTGAAAAGATTAAGCTGTTTGTGGAAGTGCAACTTTTTGGGTCCTAGTACATGTATGTACTCCTATAAGTAAAAGTAAAGCTCTCCTGCCACATGCCATGGTGGTGTTAATGGGTGGGGAAGATACAGCTCCTACTCATTCTTAACCTCACAATTATATGGAAGTAAATGGTCAACTGCATTTAACTCCCAGGCAAAGGACCCCTGGTACCCAATGGATAGAAGGCTGGGTGGGCCTCAGAGCCAGTCTGGACACGGGCTAGAAAAAAATTTCTTTGCCCTTGCCAGGGATCATACCCCACTAATCCAATCTGTAGTCAGATACTGACAGAGCTACCCCAGCTTATACTGTATACTGGATACAAGGAAGTTGAGTTGAGCACTCCTCATGAGATCTCCATTCAGAGTTGAAGATGTATTTTAATTAATTAATAATATTATTTTTATGTATTTTGACATATCTATACTGAGTTATGTTCAGTGAACATGAATAATAAATAATTGTAACAGTTTTTGAAGTACTTAATTTTCCTTTGCATGACCCTCTGGCCTATATTTACTTCAAAATAGCTCTATCTGACCCCTATTTTAGACTACACATTCAAGTAACCTTGAACATTTAGAAGGTCACAGAAATAATGGTAGACGTAATGAAAGTATCTCTGGGAAAAACAGTATTTCATATGACTTTTACACATTGGATGTAATGAATTGTGTGTGCAACTTTGAAAGTTTCCATATTCCATATGTAAAGTGTTAACACAAAATATAAATATTGCATTAGTAATGCAATAGTCTGATAAGAATTAACAGATTTTTTTTTGATTTTTTCCATAGTCTGGTGAGACCTGGAACCCACAGCTGGAAACAAAGATAGCACACATAATGAATGTTACCTTTCTAACTGTCACTCTACATTTCATGGATCGACAGGTAAGGTAATCATGGGCATAGAAATGCATGAGTATTTTCTGCAAAAAAATGTTGATTTTTCTTGTATATCCAGTAATTTAGCATCACATTTTTTATGCCTTATATTCATTATACATGCAAGTGTTTTCACAATGTAAATAACATTAACAAGCATATAAAAAGCATATGCAGGGTTAAGGAACAGCAGCAGCTGAAAACATCTCATTCCACATTAAGCAATAACAATACAAAATTGGACTGCTTACATTGCAGGATTACTGCATTTTGTTTATTGCAAAACTGGTTTTCAACTAAATGTTTAATATGTTGTATATTCTGTAGTTGTACAAAATTGAAGACTATCATGAAAATAGGAATTAACCTGTCCTAAAAAGCAAGCAGAAAATGTAATCTAATTCTATATTTTATATGAGAAAAACACCCCAGATATTTATCCTATATGACTAATACTTTGACATTTTTTAGAAATTCTAATAGAAATAAAATGTAGTGAAATGTTAATAAAACAAATGATGAGTTGAAGATGATTGTCTTCTGGGATGTTGCACTGTGTAGTCTGGTAGAAGTTTACCACTGAGGCTGTTTCCATCTAATTTCTTTAAACTTGAGGAGTCTCATACTTAATCCCTAGTCTCAAGCACTACCCTCACTTAATCACTATTTCACAAAAAATCAAAATGTTGTGCATTATTACCTGTTTACTGACTTTAAAGAAAGTACAGCATTATATCACTGTCCAGCAGTGGTTAGGAATAGGTTATAAGACAATGTATGCTGAAAAGCATTTGTATCTACTGATGCACATACATATAATCAAGAAATGTTGTGCATAAGGTATGCCAGAGATTTTGTTTTTAATACCAGTGATACAGACCTTTAATGTATATACATATTCAGGGGAGATTGTTGTAGAACAAGCAATAAAATTATTTGTGATTATGTAACATCATACTGTTACATATTTATCAGAGTTTAAAGATTATATTATATGTGTGATGAGCAAAGAACATATAAAAGAGATATGCAAGGATTGTAGGTGAGTGAAGAGGTGGAGATGTAGTGTTCATCTCTGCACTAAAATCAGACTTCTCAGAAAAACTTCTCAAACAGATAAGTTATGCATGTGTATTTCTTTGTAGAATCAAAATGAATATCTTTGCATTTGAAATATTCTTTAATTTAATTTTTATTTGATGATATAAAGAAATATATTAATTTCTTAAATTGAAGTGTGTATTTTATGATTTCAAAGATTTCAAATTATGTTTCTATATTGAGTTTCTTTACTTGTGCAATTATTGGGATTCAGACATTTACAACTGTTGTTACGCAGGCTGAATATATGAATCGATTAGATTACAAATGGAAACGTCAACTGTCTCATGAACAAGAAGAATCTTCTACAATGCACATGATCAACAAAATGCTGCTACAAAACATTCTTCCAGTACATGTTGGTAAGAGTTTAAATGTAAAGAGCTTTCTTCACATGTTAATATTAAGCTTAGTGGTTTGACTTCTTTTCTTTTCCCATATCTCCTAATTTAAATGGCCTAGCAACCACATATAGAACTCCAACAGGTCTGGAGTTTTGGGGTAGGATTTTTCTTTGGATGGGTAGTCAGCCTGTCACAAGGCCTCTACTTACACCAGACGTTACAACACAGAGAAATTCGGACACACAACTATGCATCAAGTGGGATTTGAACCTATGATCCCAGTGTTCAAACAGGAAAGTCCCATGCCTTAGACCATACAGCTGCTGCTTCTGGATTTTTTGTATTTTAATCCTATAAGTCAAAAGTATGATTATTTATGTATAAAATACTGTACCATATTCACCATACTTATGAAATATTAAAAAATTTGAACCAAAGTTCAACAAATACAGCAGTAAGTATCTTAGTAGTTGCCATGTACCAATGCAATACATTGTTTTCTCCAACAAAGCTACAGGACAAGTGAAAAGTAAAGCTGTCCCACTATAACACCATGTAGGTGCTTGTGTGTGTGTGTGTGTGGGTGGGGTGGGGGGGGGGAGAGAGAGGTGGTATAGCTCCTACTCTTTCCTGACCTTGGCATCAGATGGGGTGAGTGTTCAGCATTACACCTCAGCCATGCTTTACCCCCGGGAAAGGACCCCAGTACCCATTGGGTAGGAGACTGGGTGGGCCCAAAAACCAGTCTGGACACAGAGGCTAGAGGAAAAATCCTCTGCCCCATCAGGAATTGAACCCCGGTCATCCAGTCCGTAGCCAGTCACTATACCAACTTAACTAAGTGCTATATTAAAAATTTCCAGCACACAAAAATTATACAATATATAGACCTCACAGAGAATAGCTGTTTATCTAAATATTAAGCTGTAATTAATTAAATAAGCATTTGGTAATATTCACATTTAGAAAATTGATTGGTACAGTTTGTCTTGAATTTGTCAAAGGCTCTCCAATGTTATTTTGTAAACAAGGATTGTCATAAAGATTTGTGGGTCTCATGACTGAAAAAATATTGATGTAGATCTTGTAACAATATGTGGACCTGTAGGTAAATACCGACATTTCAGAGGAACATACTGCATCTACCAACTAGTCCGAAAGATGGGGCAGAATGTTCTTCAAAAACGTTTCTGTCCACATGGTGTTGAAACCAAGAACATCAACATCAATAATGACTGTCATTTGTTATAAAACGTTCTTGGGTGATCAGCTATGACAATTTTGAGTCAAATGCCAAAGTTCTGAAGACTAGCTCTGTCTCCATCATCAGGGTATGTGATGATGATGGCAACAAGAAAATCTTTGAAATGCTTTCATTTGATTCAACATTGATGCATCTGATTACCTGAGAACGTTTTATGGCTTTCATGCACCATGAAAGTTTTAAGTCTTGCAGGAATTGTTATGACCTAATTCTTTTACAGCCGACTGGTTTTTGAATACAAACAGAGACCATGAAGAACTTTACCATGAGGAATATGATACAGTTGCAGTGATGTTTGCTTCTCTGACAGAATATGCACTTTGGGATGACAATGGTCTTGATGGTTCCAATGAACTGAGTAGCATCAGACTTCTCAATCAAATCATCTGTGACTTTGACAAGGTAGACACTGGATATGACTTAGAGCTTTTTTCTTACAATATACATTGTGGTCTTCTGGGTTATGACATTGTGGCTTCTGCCCTCAATATGGAGGCATCAGGTTTCTCCAAAATGAGTCTACATGGTATCTTAAACCAGAAGACCACCCACAAAATATCCATCTACTTTATGCTGTTGTATAATCTTGAGGTCAGTAATCTTATTGTGCTGAATGTTCATTTTTGTTCCTTCTGTTACTATGGAGTGTTCTTTCTGTATTAAAATAATGCTGTTCTTATTTTTTGTATATGCACACTTTTGTTCATTTATGATTTTTTCAGAAATTATTTTTATTGTGTCTATAGTATATAAGATATTACTTTGAAGATTTATGTCTTCTGGGTTGTTACGCTGTGTAGTCTGGTCGATGTTTACCAACGTTTCAGAGGTCATACTGCCTCTGTCATCAGGGCTACACAGCGCAACAACCCAGAAGACAGAAATCTTCATACTCACTGCTGTGAATACCTCAAATCTTACACAGATATTACTTTAACTGTGGTGATTGTCTAATACATGTTTAGCAAACTTATATTTGTGCATTTTGTTCCTAATATGTGTGTTCTTGAATAAGGGCCCTCTTTGGCCTATGTACATGGTCACACTCCTTACTTTTCATTTTTAAACTCTGTAACTTCTTTTGTCTTATTATTCTGTTTATATTGTACTGTAAGATTTGAGTTCTTAATTATATTGCCAAATTTCCTTATGCTTGCACCAAAATATGTGAATGTGACTGACTTTTAGGTAGAATAATATTAAAATGGATATTGGGGAAATAAGGTGGGAGGATGTGGACTGGATTAATTTGGCTCAGGATAGGATTTGCAGTGGGCTCTTGTGATCACAGTAATGAACTTTCAGATTCCATAAATTGTGGGGATTTTCTTGACTTCCTGAGCATCTATCATAGTATCTAATTTACCCTTAGCCTTATGTGTAGTGTTTGTGTGTGTAACTTCATTTAGTAAAGTAGCCAAACAGTTCATCCAATGTGTAGAATACATTTTTATTTGCAGTTGCTGTTTGACACAAGTTCTCTCCGTGTGGAGAAGATAAAAGTTGCGGGGTGGACATACATGGCAGCTTGTGGTTTAGATCCTGGTAGAAGAGATTCAGTTAATTCCATCAATAGAAGTAGCTTCTCTGACCATGTGGTTCTGGTTCTGACTCGCTTTGCAGCAAAAATGATGGGTGTTCTCCAGAAGATCAATAGAGAAACCTTCCAGGCTTTCAAGTTAAGAGTTGGTCAGTTATAGTTCCATGTAACTTTCTATATAGTTATCTATCTATATAACAGACAAGTGTTGGTTTGGTGATCATGTTTTAAAATCACTTACAAACAATGTCTCTTCAGCATAAGATTATTCTTTAAAACTTACTGCTTATCTCCTTATTAAGATAACAGCAAATTGCAATCTAATATATACACTTTTCACAGGTTTTATCAGAACATATGATCATATGTTTTAAACATTGTTTTTTTCTTCTCTACTGATTCAGCTGTTTCTCAGAAACTGATTGTTGACAGAACGGAACAGAATATATTCAGAGGGTCTTGATTTTGTATTATACATTGACCAATAAGTCATATAGCCTACAATATATGTTGGTTGTGTGATCCATAGTTTGGGTATTGATGATAAACTATAAATTTTGACTAAAATTAGTCATATTCATTTTCACTGGATTACACTTAAGTCACTGCACATCTTCAATACAAATTATGTTAACTATAATCTTGCTTTAAAGTTTGTTAAAATATTGATAGTTGAATAATACACCAGCAGTATGTTTAATCATTATTACAACCCCATGTTAATATCTGGTAAAGTTGTTAAAGTGTTACTGGTAAAATCGTAGAATCTATGGCAGATTAATGTTCCATTGCTGTATTGCTGTTATTTTGATTTCTGAGTTTTAGTGTGTTCGTTTTTCAGTGTTCTGGTGCAGCTCTAGAAGACAGGGTGAAGATAATCATCCTCTGTTATTGTACTGTCTGCTTTCCAAACACTAAAAATGAAAGTCCATTGTCATTTGAATTGTTCCCTCATAGCTAGTTAGACCTTGCAGTCCAACAGTGACAGTTTTGTACTAAATTTACAGGAATCTCACATGGAAAAGTGACAGCTGGTGTGATTGGTGCCCAGAAACCGCATTATGATATCTGGGGCCACTCAGTAAACATGGCTTCTAGGATGGAGTCTACAGGGGAACCAGGAAAAATCCAGGTGCAATTTAGTTTCATGGTTTGAAATAGGTTACTAAAATATATCCTGTAAATGGTAAAGCCCTATGATTTTGTAATAAATATTGTTGCTTTCAGACAAAATAATCACAGAAGCACATGTTGTTTTTTAATTTATTTATTTGAATGAGCTTCTAATTCTCAATATTTAAAAATGCCAACAACAAATTAAGAATTAATGATATCCTCACTCTAATTAAATTTGTTATTAGTGATACAACTCCACTGAGCAGTCCTTATAGAGAAGCTAATAGTCACTAACCTAGTCTAAAAATACTGTATTTTATGGAAACTGAAGGTTCATAAATGTATTCAGATGGACCTGCCACAGGTTTGTAATCTGAGCCATATAGTTCTGGTTCAAATTCACAAACAATTTTTCTTTAATATTCCTTATAATATTATCATCCTGTATCAATTCTTGTTAAGAACTAATGCTTTTCTTATTATTTATCTCTTGTCTTCTCCCTTCCCCTTAAAAATGTATGGTTGCCATGAGAATTACTACTACTGCTTTAATTTCTCTGAGCATTTACAACATAAATTTGAATTGATTATTATGGGCACGCCCAGTTTCTTTGTGGACTGAGCATTGTAAAGCTGAAAGACAGCTTTGTTCTTAGTGGTGTGGCCTTTACAGAGTTATTTAACTGCTGTGCACAAAGGCTGGTAGTGCTAGGGAATTATTATATGCTATTTTCAGTAAGTCCTAACTATTCCATATTAGCTCAAGTGCTGTATAGAGTAGAGTAGAGTTTATTTACATTCCATAGATCCTTCTTAGGACTCAACCAAAGGATGTAGAACATGTCATTTCATACAATATACATACACTTCAGAACTTTCAACACAAGTACAAGAACGTATTTCACATATCAATGTACATAAATTTCAGATTCTGCAATACAAGTATGAAAAATAATTTTACAAATTAATATACATAAACCTCAGAATTTTAAATATAAATACAAAACTTGCTTTACATATACGTAGATTATGGATATAAAGCTTAAACATTTTCAGCAGAGATGAAATCATCTACAGAATAGAAGGAGTGAGTAAAGAGGTAATCTTTCAATGCAGGCTTGAATACCTTTATATCATAATTTAGACTTTTAATTGTTGGTGGAAGATTATTAAATAACGTGATACCTGTATAGTACACTCCTTTTTGATATTTAGTAAAGTTAGCATTTGGCACATAGAGATCATGTTTACGTGTTGTATTTAAATTATGTACATCTGTATTTCTTTTAAATTTATGGTATATTCCTGTGGACCCAGAATACAAATTGTTGTTCTTTTATTTGTATAGGTCACAGAAAATACAGCAAGGGTACTGCAGCAACTGGGAATACACTGTGAATGTCGAGGTGCAATTAAAGTGAAGAGCATAACAAACTTAGTCACAACATATTTTGTGCACTTTGATGAAAACTTTCAGTTAATACAAGTGGAAAATGTACAAGATAGTGATCAGGACAGTGTCCTGGAGGAGAGTGAAGTTAGACATTGTGAAGAGAGGTACACAGAGGAAAAGCAAAACAATACAAAACTATAAACTAGTGATGCTCAAACTGTAAGCAGTATTCAGACTGTACAAATATAATTATATAGAACTTTGTGTGTGTGAATTCTTTTGTGTGTTTTGACAACATGGTTATATTTTTTAACTGGTAAACAAATAAAGCTTTTAAGAAAGATTGTTGAAATTTAACACAAAATTTAATACTTAATTTATATCACTGTTTTTTTAAGTTACATGTGTGACATCATCAAGACATGGCAGTATCTGTTTTCTCTATTGTACAGTAGGAAACCACTTGTGGAGGTCATTTGCTCTGTACATATTAGGTTGCTGGGAGGATTTTCCTGTGTACCTGCCGAGGTGGTGGTCTTGGCAGTCTATAGCATTGACTTTGGTTCGTAAGGAAACGTTAGACATGTTTATCTTTGGAAGACTGTAAAAGGTTTGGGCTCTATGGCCCTTCGAAATCAGGAATTTCCTGTCTTCAATAGGACTGTTGTACTCGATTTCGATCGTCCGTTGTTATTACCTACAGCTGACAATCCGTGTTATCGACTGCTTTCACTACGCCTGAATCCACGTTTAGGGCCAATATTCCGGCACACTTCGAGATCAATTTTGAGAAGGCTATGCATATCCACATTTCAGCTGTCACTTGTTCACTTGCGAGGAATGCTGGTTGACTAATGCATCACGTGCGGTCTCCTACCAATTGGAGTTCAAGTAGCTGCCGCCATATTGTCGCGACGAAAGGATCAGGTTGTCAAGAAGTTAGTTGTAATGCTAGAAATTGTGTAAATGTGAAGAAAATAGAGGAGAAACTATGGTTAAAGAACTAAGTAATTTTAAAAATAAGAAATTGCATTCTTCGAAACCCTATGATGTATCCAACGTAAGTAATCTACCTTGCAGTCATCACTTCGCGCGTAATGCTGAAAATAGATCAGGAACCAAAATTATAATGATCCTTTACAGAGGATTTGAATAGCCCTGAAAGTTAAACCTAAAAATGTTTGTAATACAAACATATGACACCATATGCCATGCATTGTATCAGATTGCAACGTGAAGTACTTATAATTAAGCTGCTGTGCTTGAAATGGGTCAAGGAATATATTTTTTCTGAGAACTGGAAGACAGTTGCATGCTGTATGTGTTGGGGCATGATGATAGCATGTGGCATGGTCTTTATCATTTTTTGTTAAGATGTATGTAACTTAGATCGATCTAGGTTAACCTGTCGTAAGTTGACTTTTTGGCGGGGGCAGCACAAAGTTTTAAAATATGTGTTACCAGAGTATTTATGGTTGCATAAATAAAATAACATGTTGGATTTTTGTGCTTTCTTTTGCAGTCTTTTGTCAAAAAGGTTGCTTCTAGTGTAACAAACCTTCTTCCACAACCAGCATGGCTTAGTAAATGGTTTACTTCATCTGTAGAGACTGAAGTACAAGAAAGGGATGTTGTTAATTTGAATAATTCTGGTTCAGAGGATCATGATAATGTCAAAGTGCACACATCACCAAGAAAGTCAGCCAAGATTCCATTGAATCAGCAGTTTCCTCCAGATAGTTTTAAAATATCTCCAGTTTTTAATGATCAAGGTATGGCCAAAGTTTTGATAGAATTATTTACATTGTTTAGACACTCTTTGACGTAAATACGTCTATACGGAAGGGTTATTCGGCAAAAAAGTGTAACGAAAATGTATAAGATCCGTATCAACAAATTGACAGCAATGGTTAGCTTGGGTGCATTGTTATGTTACCTAGGAAACATCATCTGTTTACTCGGCATTGTTGTTATGTTACTGCCGTCAACAATCTGCTTTCGTAACAAGATGTATGACATTGAAGATAACATTATATTACATTTCACTACTTTACATTACATTTCATTACTTCACATTACATTACATTACAGAGACGTAAATATAAATTAAATAGGGAGACGTATTTACGTCAAATTCTCCGGAACCGTGGTTCCGCTGTCAATTTTTTTGACATAAGCCAAGAATGTAGAACATGTTATGTAAACTTAGCAAATTTTGAGTTTGGTGATGATACAAGTTTTCTTTGAAGGTGGAGCACATCAATGAAGATTGCATATAACTATATAAAATTTTATGTAAGGTTTGTTAATCCTGTGTTTCTGTTTACTGCAGCGTCAACAAAGAGCGCCTTTGCAAAGGCTGGCTTCACTTCTTCCTCTCTGTGCCTACCACTCATATACTGTTTGTTTTGTATTAAATTCCAGTCTCAAAAACATGAGGATGATAATTATGTGTGTTAACAAAGTCTGAAGTTTGGCCTACTGAATTTTATTTTCCATTTATTATTGTGTTATATTATTATTATAAGATTTGAAACAAACTAATTAGTGTGGATATTAACAGTATCAAGTCAGCAGGGAGGCTCTTCAGGAATTATTCACGATGACATTTACAAAGATGAAGCAGTAGCAGGTCCCAGTGGAATAAATACAAGACATCTTGTATCCTCCACCCCAAATATACAGTCAACAGCAACGCACCTGTTGGCTGGTACGGACCGGAAGATGAATGGTAAAAAAAATGTCATTATTATAAACTTCAAATGGTTTTCTGTAAAAATGGTTTCAGTGAAGTTTCATTTGGCTGTTGTAATTTTTTCAGCTGTTTTGATTATATTCTTTAATGGTTCTCTCAAGGTGTGCTGTTATCTTGACTTACATGACATAAGAGGTATTTTATTTATTCACTTATGGTTTACTTAATGATGCTCTTAGTAGCTTAGACTATGTAGTGCCAATGAAAGGTAAGTGATTTAAAGTGTATAGTTGTTTATTTGTTATGGTATAATAAGGTGACAATTGTTCTAGACAGATGGCGCTTGAACATCCACACATATGGAAGAATAAATTTAATTTTTAGTGTGTAGTATCATTTATGGGTCATGGTAACTTAGATATTATAACTGGGAGTTCACCAAACATACAGATATTTAGAGACTTCATTACCTCTCTAATGAGCATATGGAGGTAACAGATAATCTTAATTGGTTGAACAAGAGATCAGTACAGATGTGATATGTGAATAAATGCTGATGTTATAAAAATAATGAGCATACCATTATATAACTTGTAACATTTTAAATAAGACTACATGCATTTTAGATATTGTATAAGAAAAACTTAGGTTGGTGTTGCATCATTGGTTCTGACTTCTGCTAACTCACATGTAGGAGAAACCTGATTTATATCTTATCAAGAAATCAGTTACTCCGAGTTTTCCACAGTTTTTCTCAATCTATACTGTAAAATAGGCCATGATATTTTCAATTTCTGTCTCAATTCAGGATTCATAACTACCATACTGTACATAAAATCTGTCAACAGAACTTTTTGAGTAAGTGAACAGCCAACATTTGGGCTCTTCTCTCAAATTTCAGAATTTTGTCATTCCTTAAATCTGAATATGTACTTTCTTTAAGTTGTCTTTGTGGTTAATTTCTAAAACACTGTTCCTGTTGATAAATATACTTGCCATACAGTTTTATTAGTTTACATATTAACTTTGAACCGTATTGCATTTCTGAGCATCTTGGCACCAGATTTAAAATAATAAGCAAACTAGATGATGATGATGATCACATATACTACTACAAATATGACTATTTGTTGTTTTTACTTCAGTTTTACTGTAGTGATAGCAGTACAATGACAAGACAAAGAAAAGATTTTAAGTACAAGAATGTGTATTTACTAGTATGGTGCTAGGGAATAATTTTCATAGAAATCTGAGTCACACAAGCAGGCTGTATTGTAGAACTCTTTGTTATTAATGAACATGCCACGAATGGTGTGGTGGCAAGGATCTGTGTGCTAACTTTGGCAGTAAGATGAAGGTGAATCGTTAATCTGACACTCAGTCCACATTACAGGTTAGAGTTACTGGTGCTATTGTAGAGGAGGCTGGTTGGGCCTCATGAAAGCCAGTACAAAACCAGAGAAAAATCTCTGTTTGACTCAGAAATTGAACCCTGGGCATTGAGCCTGTAGTCAGTTATTTTGTGTCCTGTCATATGTTGAGGATTATGATGATGAGTAAAATGTATACCAACAACCTGTAACACGGTATTGATTATTATTAAAACACATTAGTGGTATTGCATGTTACATTAGTTTAACAAGTTGGCAGTGTTAGTAACATTGGTGGATAGATTAGCATAATACAGTGTAAATTAAAATGTTGTGGCCAATATTGTGTGGATATTTAAGAGCAGCATCTTCTGAGTTTTAACACATAGGTTAGTACTTCAAAACATCAGTAATAAAATCTGGTGTTGCACAGAGTATGGATGTTGAATTTGCTAAGTGGGGCTCATTTATTTAGAATAAGGTAGGTGCACTGTAATCCTCTTTTGTCCATGTTGTAGCCATTTACCTCACAGACTAAGCTGTACTGGCTCTTAATAGTTGCAGTGTATCTTGAAAAGTAATATGGTAGCAGCATTTGAGAAAATGCTGCATACATACAGTAAATCCTGCTTATAATGGAATCCAAAGGGATGTGAATATTTTTTCTTGACACTTCTAGGTAAAAAGTCTTAAACAGTACATGCTCAATGCCCTTATGCTTTTATTATCCACCTCATGAGTCAGAAATTCATGTTACACTCTATTGTTATAGAGTATTAGTGTGTATTTTAAGTTTGGTCTTTCTATGTCCTTAGTAGGAGATGTAGTATTCTGCAGGTGTTTGTGAATGGTTAGATTTTCATCTGGCAGAAATGTTGCTTTTTATATTAATTCCCTGAAGCTCAGCATGGAAGAAAATTATAAACAGGCAGGCTGTTTTCTATTGAATTCTTGTTTTACTTTCCTGTTTCTGCATTAAATAACTTCTCTTTTTAGAGGTGATTCTGCATTAGTTTGTTTTTGGATGGGAACAGTTTTATAAAGACAGGATTCTTTTTAATCCTCATGCTGTTTTAGGCAGGGTTTCTGGAATTAGTAGCTGCTTATTACTAGATCAGACAGTATATATCCAACACCATCATTTGAGCAAAAAAACTCATATGTCATCAAGAAGTAGTAGTTGAACATAAATTAACGGAAAAGCAACATTATTACACTGTACTAGAGAATCAAGGCTATGAATAGCACAAATAAACTATACACTAATATCCATTATGGTTGAATCTCCTAACATATGCCTCTTCACAGAGCTACATCCTGTACTCTCAGAGAACAAGGAGTCACAACCACATAAGCGGCAGTGACTAACAAGACAAGAGTTACTAAAATGTTTCATTTAGTGTACTTGGTGTCCAATCCCCATTTATTGACGAAATAAATAATTATTTGTAATGCATATGGTAGAAAGATGACAGGGTGACTCGGTATTTAGCAGTAACAGAAGTAAGTCTGCATGTACAGGCCCTAAATAATAACTTTTGGGACTAGATTTACTCATTGGGACCATGTTCCTTATTTTATTGTTTGGAGGAGAGAAGTTTATGATTTCATTTTAGAACTCTTTGAAATGTGTAAGGTATAGTATATTCCAGTTTTTTGTTTAAAGGAGATGACCAATCAGAAAGCAGTGAGTCTACAAGTGGCTGCTCATCCTTGGTACCTCAAGCTAACCGACAGTATCAGGCTGGTGGAAGAGTGATAAACAGTTCATCAGGGCGAAGGCGGAGCATGGATGAGAAGTTGAGCTTTAGTAAGTTATTTTTGAACAAAACTCTTTATATATTTTAGATTGTTTGAAAAAAAAATTTTGCTGATATATCACAGGATGCAAGAATCTCTTTACAACCAACTTTCCTTGTGCTTTCAGGAAAAGTGGACTTGCATGCATGTGTGAGTGTGTGCGTGCATGCACGTGTGCATTCATTATTCTCTGTCATTCCTTGACAGTGACTTTGAACAGGTGGATTGTTTTACTTGTAGTGAACATTTAGTTATTCACTCTGTACTTAACATATGTAAAAACTGATATTCAGTAATATGACAAATTTAATATTCTGTTTCATTATAGCTGGTCATCTCCAGAGCCCACGGACATTGTTCTCTGACCGAAGCCACAGTCGTAGTCCACGGCTTACCCCATATGCCAACAGAAAAAGGCCATCGTTCAATGTATCTTCATTTGCCTCACCATTTCAGGTTTGTAGAGCAAGCAGTGCATTGCTTTTTGTAGTGAATTTATCCCAGAAGATCCAAACTGCTATCACTCTTATTATTAGGAAAGAGTCTTATCATGTATATAAATAGGTTCACTGTGGAGGGGCAAGTATGTTACAGATTTTTTTAAAACTCCAGAATTTCTTGCATAATTGTCACATTCCAGTTTTGTTAATAACTGCAACAATTACATTGTAAATATATTTCTCTTTTTGCAGTAAAACCTTGTACTTGCTTCCCCAGAAGTACACTGTCCTGTAATTATATAATTATTTCTTGAAAAATACCTGTCATTTAATTTGCGTGTTCTTGGTTTTAAACAGTTTTTGTGACTGGTCAGACTTTTTCTTTTAGCCATCAACTTCTTCGATTTGTTAGTTACTCTCTTACAAGCTTCGTTTTAGTTTTCATTGTGGTTGCTTTCAAGTTTGGTGCAGTTATTATTTAATCTTATAGCTTAGTCTCCTGGATGCACTGCAGTTATATTTTCTATTTGCATGTTTGATGTGATTTGGCATGATTGCAACGCAGCGGGAAAGAAAAGCTCTTCCCTTAGAAGAAGTACTAAAAATATTACAAGACATTTACAAATTCATGGGAACTCATATTTCTATGGTGAAACAACTTGAATTATCAGTCTCGGCTCAATACAGTACAGATGACTCTCATTATACATCAGGGCTACATTTATGCGAATTGTCACATATATAAGAAAACACGTGAAATGGGAAATATATAACATGCCTGTGGAATTTGTTGGTGATATATCATGATAGGCCTTAATTTGTAGTCCCTGGTGTCAAAATAGTGGGGTGAGTCAGTGAAACTGTGTAACCCCTATACAGCAGCTTCTACCATGGCCACAGATAGGATATTCATGCTCCTCATGGCACTGAAATAAAACTGCAGTTGTGTGAAAATATGGATGTTGAAAGTGGGTATAAAGAGAGACCCACAGTCAGAAGCCACCATGCCACTGAAGAAAATGAAGAACATTGTGGTACATATCAAATTATTGTTTTGAAAATTAGATATGTTATTTATTGCAGTGTGCTGACTTTCATCATAATACTCTATATTTTTAGTTTCTTATAATTATATGTTATAAAATGTTTGTATGAGGGTCACTCCAAAAGTAATGCACCCTATTTTTTTTAATTCAATTTTTATTTTACAACTTTGTTGTTCACACAGTGGATAGGTACAGCCTTTAGGAACAAAATGCTACTTTTAAACATAGTCTCTGTCTCTCTCATCTGCCTTACGTTCACCTTCTCAACATTGGTGTCCACGCTGACTGCTGCATGGCAAATCACAAATGTCCACCTTTGCCTGATGTTCTTTGTCCCCAGTGGTTAACTGTGTTGTGATCGACAGTATCCTCCCCATACATCTTCTGCAGTCGCTTGTGGATGTTTCCCACCGTCTCATTCTCACACACCAGGAACTTGATAACAGCACGTTGTTTCTGACAAACATCAAGGACAGCAGCCATGTTTAACGAATGATACACATGTACCACTTGCAGGAGAAGGATGAACTATGTTTTAATAGAAGCAGGATGAATGTATCTGTGTTCTGTGTGAAAAGCAACATGGTAGAATAAAAGGGGATTTTTTTTAAAAAAATGGTGTATTGCTTTTGGAGTGACCCTTGTAAATAGTAAAAAAGTAAAGTTTGTCCCACTATACGCCATGTAGGCGTTTGGGGTGAGTGGAGGTATAGCTCCTCTCTTCCTTGACCCCGGCACTGGATGGGGGGGAGTGGTTAGGATCACGCCCTGGCCGGCTTTGGAGTGACCCTTGTACATTGCATAATAATTAACCTGCATTATTTTCTGACCATTCCAGTAGAGGTTTGAGGTGTAGGTAAGTAGTAAGCTCATGATTTTTGCATTTCCTGTAATTTACACTATTTTTCATTAGTTCCCAGAAAAGTGTAAATATAGGGTTTTACTGTAATTTCACTTCAGTATTTCAGTTGGGTTACAAAGATCATTATTTTCCTTTGTGCTGTTACTGCACAATCACAAGTTCATTTTGTTATTCTGCAGGGGAAGGATAAATCTGCAGTTGAGAGTTGTGTTACCAGTTCACCATTCTACGCAGGGAGGACAATGTATGGAGGGGCTTCTGCCTACAGGACTAAGGACAGGTCATTTGTTCATTGTGAGGTAAATATATGGTTGTCTTCATATTATGTTATGTTTTAATATATAGGCACAACTTAATTTTAAACTGTTTGTTCTGAACTCTTAACACTTTTCTGGTAAACTGTAGATGTATCATGTTGGATAATTGTCTATTGTCAGAGGCAGGCCTGCACAAATCATGGGTGCCAGGCCATCATGCTCCCTAGAATTTTCCGCATGTTGTATATATTAAAAGACACATGCAGGGACATACACCCATGCAAACTTCTGACATTATGGGACAGTTATGCAGGAATGGTATGAGGTATGTTTACACAGTGTTCTCTACTCCCATCTTGAGGTGGTGGGTGTTCTGGCATTTTCTTCTTCTTTTATGTATTTATTGTGAGACTAGGATTGGTGGTTTGGATCGCTTGTAATTTTCTGATGTTTAATGCATAGGGATTTTCTATCTACTTGCCACCTTTTGCTGCCCCCCCCCCCCTTCTTGTTTTATTAAAGAATGTAGTTTTGAGATAAAATCATAACTCATTATGAGGGTTGGGTTATGTATATATCAAGGAACAATCATATCATAGAATTAGTTATATATGCAGCTCAGTTTATACTGTTTGCTATGTGATTCTGGCTTTGTATTGTCTCGTGTTTGCAAGGAAAGTAATGGTTCTATTAGGATATCTATACCACCACATTGCTTGGCCTAGAAACCACCAGCACAACGTTGTCAGTAATTTAAAAACATTTATCCTAAATTTAAAGCATGTTCTTAGAAACCTAGCCCTTTCTTCTTTTTCTTCAAATGTTTAGATATTGTCTTTGGAACCATTACCTATGAATTAAAATTAAAAATGGGAGTGTTCGTTTAAATATTGAGGTGTTGCAATGTTAAAATATTGGCATATTTTATTTTGTAGGTTGTATCTCAGAAACGAGGTGGGGTTCAAGTGAAGCCCGTGAATTTTGCATCTGATTCACTAAGCAGCATGAGCACAACAGCTCGGCGTATTCTTGAGGCACTAGAACAGTTTTCAACACCAGTTCTTGATGCTAAACGCATACCTCTGGAATCTTCAACTCCACCACTAAGTTTGAAGCATAAACGTATATACACAGGTAAGGAATTCTTACTCCTGCTGTTAACACTCCTTATGAACTGAATTGTTTAGTTCAGTAGGCATGGGACATCACAGCAATGACATGCTGCCTATTGCTGTATCTTATGACCTGATAAAACATTTACCACGTACAGTTCATAGTATTGTATGTATGTGCATATGTGTGCACTTGTGCATTCATAAAAATATTGGTGATTCCAAACTTGACATTATTATTGGACACCAGCATAGAATTTCTCTTTAACTTTCCAGGACTGCGCCCCAGTCAAGCACCTCATACATCAAAATCAGCATGTGGCCTGACTATTCCCACTGTGCCAGACTTGTTGAAAATGAAATGCCGTGAGAAGTTGCAGGATTCCTTGGAGTCTGCGCGTCTCATTGCTGTGACATCTTATCCAAGCAACTTTAATCAAGAGTATAGACTTAGGTAAGTGTAACTGTTGGGTGCAAAGTGTAAATTAGTTCTACTCAACTATAGAACAATATGTCCAGCTTTTATACATTAGTGTACATTTCATCTTACTGTGTTATATTTCTTTGCTATGTTGGGCATTATCTCAAGAACTTAAGCAACACACTCTTTTGCAGGTTTGAGGATGGTGAGCAGAGTGGAAAACATGTGGGAAAGATCAGAGGCAAGGAGAAAGAATTAGAAGAGGAAACTGTAGCAGCAGTAAATCTCCCTAACATTTCATTACCACTTACATCTCTTCCAAAGTTTGACTTTATAGTTCCTCCAGCTTCTAGTACCCCTAAAGTCACCTGTACTTTCAAATTTGCATCCCCAATCACTGTCACAGAAAATGCAAGGACAAGTTTGCCTACAGATACCTTTACTTTCAGTAAGCCTATCAGTGCTGTAGGTAATAAGAACACCACAATGAGCAGAGAAATGAATGGTGTTGGTACTTTCATTCCAGATTTTGCTCCCAAATTAGGTGCAATGCAATTCATGTCTGGAAGTGACAATAAATCAGTGTCTTCTGATGCCGGTGTGTCATGTAATAATAGTCAGAGTAGTGATGTGTGTTTTGGCACCAAAGCTGCCACAGAACTGAAAGCAGGTAGTGTGATGGACATTTTGGGAAAGAAGCCCATCTCCATTGATAAGGAAGAATTGAAGGAGGTTACTTCAAGTAGCAGTGTCTCTTTAGATAAGTTCAGACCAGCCCCTGGAACTTGGGAGTGTGGGCTCTGCATGATCCGCAATAAGAGCGATGCCATGAGGTGTATTGCCTGTGAGACTATCCGAACATTTGTTGGATCAGTGAGTTTTAATATGGCAGCTACGACAGCATGTCCTGAAATTCAATCCAGTGCATCAGAGGACATGTGGGATTGCAGTTCCTGCCATGAACATAATCCATGCTGTGTTGCAATGTGTGGAAAGTGCTTAGTAGCAAGGACTGGACAAAGCCTGTCTCAAGCTAAAGAGCCAGACAAACCAGCAGTTTCAATCTCTGGATTTGGCAATAAATTCAAACCTGCAAGTGATACTTGGGAATGTAGCACATGCTTAGTACGGAATCCAGGCTCCACTAATTTTTGTCAGGCCTGTGAAACCCAAGGACCAGTATTAACTACCAAGTCATCACCCAAGGTTGGTTTTGGATTTGGTGACAGGTTTAAGAAACCACCAGGAGCCTGGAATTGTCCAGATTGCATGGTGCAGAACAGCGCTGATTCATTGAATTGTGTAGCATGTAAGAGAGCCAAACCTGGTTCTGAGCCCGAGTCAACTGTGAAGTTTAATTTTGGAATTGATAAGGCTAATTTTTCGGTAAAGGAGTCTGACATTTACTCTTCTTCAAACATGCAGGGGTTCAAATTTGGTGAAACCAAGGTGACAGCTGCATCAGGCTTCTCTTTTGGAGTAACCCAGACCTGTGAAACAAAAGGGTTGGTATTGGGTAGCACATCATCATCTCCATTGTCCACAACTGGTGTTTTATTTGGAGATGGGTTTAAGAAATCACCAGGGACATGGAATTGTCCAGTTTGCATGATTCAGATTAACAATGACTCATTAAAATGTGTACAGTGTGAGAAAATGAGGCCTGATTCAAGTTCACAATCAGCCATAAAGTTCAGTTTTGGAATTGATAAGGCTGGTGTTTCACTAAAGGAGTCTGACATTGCCTCTTCATCAAAAATGCAAGGTTTTAAATTTGGTGAAACCAAGGTGACAGTTGCATCAGACACTGTACCTAGAATACCAGACTCAGATATATCAACTGTTGTTACCACTGGTTTTAGTTTTGGAAATTCAGCTTCTCCGCTCTCAGTGGTAAAAACTGCAGGTACAAGCTCACATTCACAAACGGAATTTTCTTTTGGAGTTCCACGTCCTGAATTTCAGTCACAAGCATCAGATGGAGATAAACCATCTGGAGGTATGCCAAAGAAATGCCGGTCTTCTGATACTGTTGAGGTGACTGTAAATTCAGATGGTGATGCGCATACAAATTCAGGTTTAAGTAGAGAACCTGCAACTTCAAACTGCACACAACAAATACAAGATAATTCTGACAGTAAAGACCATGGCACAAAGAGGGTCACATTTTCATTTGGTGCAGCTGGTGGCACAAGTGAGAAGCCTAATACAGCAACGAAAACAGTTGATTGTGCAAAGCCTACTTTCAGTTTTCCTGTTTCTACTGTGGGTACAGCTTCCACAGACTTCAGCTTGAGTTCAGTTAAGCCAGTTGTTTCTACTATTCCCAGTTTCAGTTTCACTTCATCACAAGCTTCATTTGGCAGCAGTACTGCCACACCTGTAACCGTGAGCAGTATTGGTGCTTCTACTGACGTCTTAACATCAAATGTCACTTCTGCAGCATCATCAAATTTGTTTTCTTTTGGTTCACCAAAATCATGTGTGGCATTTGGAGGGTCTTCTCAGCAGTTAGCCAATACTTCTGGATCAGTGCCAACATGTGGCAGTGCATTGAAAGCTACTGCTTCTCCAGCTGCTTTCAATTTTATTCCTAACATTAACAACAAAGAATCTGTTGGAGCTACAACATCAAGCTTTGCATCATTGGCAAGCACTGGATCAAAAGCAACATTTGGCACATCATTGAAAACTACTGCTGCTTCATCTAATTTCAGCTTTATTGCTGAATTTAATAAAGCGCGCCCTGTTGTTACTGTACCAAACTTTGTATCAGTAACAAGTGCTGCAACTGTTACAGCATTTGGACCCTTAACCACAACTAACACTTCATCCTCCCTGCCAAATTTTAATTCTGCCACAACATCTAATTTTGGTTTTGCAGCAAGAAGCACATTTCCAGTATTTGGCACACCCAGCATATCTACTGCAGGTACTACCATTTTAACATCATCTAGTTCTAGTATTACTTCAGCTCCACTTTTCAGTACAGGATTTGCCTCTCTTAATGAACAGAAGCCATCACTGCCAGCTGTCAGTAATTCAGCAACCAAACCTGTACCATTTCCTTCTGCTGGACAGACATTTTCTTTTGGTAGCCCTCAGAATGACAAAGGATTTGCCAGTAATGGTGCATTTAGTTTTGGTGCAACCTCACCACCAGGGGCAAATTCAGGTTTTCAGTTTGTTTCAAACAATCAGTCAGCTCCTCAGGTTGGGCCTACTTTCAGTTTTGGATCCAATGTAGTTACAACATCCAGTGCTACAATCCCATCATTTGGAACACAACCTGTTTGTGCCCCTGTGTTTGGGGCAGCAGCCTCAATATTTGGTAGCAGCAATCCTGGCACCAACAGCACTACTATTACCAGTGCTGCTGCTCCTGCTCCTGCTCCTACTGTCACACCTGCTACCAGCACGTCATTCAAATTTGGCTCCTCTATTTCACAACCAAGTTCAAACTTGTTTGGCTTCCCTGCAAGTCAGGTCACTGGATTGACTAATGTTGGAGTTTCAAACTTGACCAGCCCAACACCAAACTTCAACTTCAACCAGGCACAGGTAGCTGCACAACCTTCAGCCCAGACTGCTGCACCAACATTTGACCCTTCTGTACGGCCCATTTTCAACTTCACCAAGGGGGAAACACCTTCATTTACGTAAGTAGAATATGTAGTAATAAAATCTTTCTGTTTAAGATGTGTGAGGGATCTGTATAGGAAAATTGCAACCACAGTGCATTTCCTTTTCCATAAATCATCTTGGGGTTTTAATGTATATCTCATATTTGCAAAGTCAGTAATATTGACCTATCCTGCTGCAAAATGTAATTTTAAATTTATTACAGAGCTGCTGGTACTCCAGGGTCTGTACGTCGTTTCAAGAAGGCATTAAGGAGGACACATCCTCGATAAGAAAGTGGAGTGTTGGAGCTGTTGACTTTTGTATTATATGTAACAGAAGATTCTAGTGATTCACATGTTCTTCATAAAAAAGATTTATGTTAACATCAAACTGAAAAGGTTGACTTTTAGAATGAAATCTCACAATTAAAATATAAAATTGAAGTATTTGAATTTTAGAAAAAATTTCACAATAAATGATATAAAATTTAAATTAATAAAATGAATGATGAACACAGCTGAGTTGACTTATTTATAATTAGTAGTACTTTTAATCTTAACAAGGTACCAATCATGGAATCATAAACATTTCATTCAGAATAACATCGTCATTATAAACATTTCGAACACACTTTGACATGAAATTTACGAAGTAGCTGCTAACAAAGCCAAAAGTAAAATTCAAGAACTTTTGAAACATGTGTGTTTTAGTGTGAAGTGACATTGTCTTTGAGAGTAACAGTTTGTTTTCAAAGGCTCCAGGTCAGTACATTGCTGTGGTTTCATATATTGTTCCACTTAGATCTGGTAGGAATTGCTTCATCCAAATTGTGGGTAGACAGTTTACTTCAAGCAATTGAGTAATTATTTAAGTAACTTATAAAATATATAATTAAAGTGGCATTCAGAACATTGTAAGGAGGAGAGTAAGGGATTTTGGTCAGGAACCTGAATGCCATTTTCCATTGCTGTGGTTTAGATGTCATCTATGGCCTGGTTACTCTGATGATAACTGTAATAATTTTGTTGTTTTGTGAAGATCCTCTGAATGTGTATGGTTAAGTAACCAGGTGCTAGCATAGGTTGCCTCACTTCTAGTTTGGGATGTGTTGGCTGTGAACATTCTCTGTGTTTTTGAGGGCTATGTCCTCGTTCCTCATTCCTCACATTTTCGGTAGAATCACAATAAAAGTGCATTTTCATGTCAGAACAATGTGTCTATTATTACAATTATGAATGGCCTTAAAATGAGTGCCATTTTTTCAAGAGAATGTTCACAGTGTTAGTGTATAATGAATATAATTGTTTTAGCAATCTTATTAGTTTTGTTTGCATTGGGATGGAATACATTAGTAGCCAGACATGGTTTTTTACACACATGTACACATTTGTGGCCTGGCCCACAGAATTTGTTTTGAATTTTTAATATACCACACGTAGCTGTGTGTGGTATTGATATATAATAAAAATATATGAACTATTTCTCATGAAATTGCCAAATGATGGTAATGGTATGAATTTTCTAGGAAGCTTTTCTGTGATATTCTTGTGGGCCAGGTCTTTAGGCACATATGGTCATGTAAATGTCTATTTTGTGTAGAAGGCAGGCTCACTCCTCAAAAGTTCCGCCAGGAAAAGCGGATTCCTATTCTTTTAATAGGTGTATGACGTGATGTGACTGTGTCAGAGGATGTTGATGATTGTATGCTGTGTTTTGGACAAATATTTACATATATGACACTGTTTTTGATTAGAAAAATATATGAAAAAGGTGTGTGAAAGGAGTTAGACTGCTTTGTGTGTAAATATGGTATTAAATGTTTTTGGCTGTCATTTTCATTAGTTGCTGAAAATTTCATCTGGGCCACATTTGCTACTGCAGTATGTCAGCAGTCAGACATTTATGTTTAAAGGTTGTGAACTAAAGCTGGCATTCTCTGTTTTTATGCGACATTTTAATACAGTAAGTAATAGACATTGCATTGTATGTCATATAAGAATGGTTTGCAATCGCATTTCAATTTTCACATTTCAGCTTGTAAATAAATCTGTAGGATGA